GGTGGGTATATTTTTGGCTTTCTTTGGTGGCCGGAAGATGGCTGAGAATGGCCGGCAGGCGGCAATGGGACGGGGGTGAGTTTTGGGAAGAAGGTGAAGTTTGGTATGTTATTTGCACTTTTTAAAGAGTTTGGGCAATTTGTTCTTTATTTTTCTTTTGTTTTGTTTTATTTAAATAGGAGGGAATATTGGTCATTTTATGCTAAAAATTGGTGAAAATGACGTTCTGCGCAAGAAAATGCAAAGGTAAGGACGTTCTGCACCAAAAATCAAACGTAGGGATGTTTTCCACAAAACCCGTCATAGGTAGGGATGTTTTGCGCCAATTACCCTTCTTATAATTTGTCTTACAAATATAATGTTTGAAAATCGCACTACGGCACATTGACATGTTTGGTAAGGAGGATTGAACAAGACTCAACACTATCAAAAAAGAAAAGCCAAAATATGCCGAAAATAATATATTCTATTAACTAACTTGGTGAATTGACCTCTTAAGACCCTGGTAATTGGTGCCTTTTACTAACGAGCTGTTGTATAATTTGCAACAATCTTATGGTAACCTAATTAACACCCTAATGTTTCTATGTATACAACATACAACATCTTAAATCAAAAGAAACTCCTCTAGCAAGATTGACCTTGGTCTGTGAATATGAAATTGTGCTAAATATGATGGGTGCTTTCAAGATGTTTTAACTATGCAATTTCATCTTTTCTTGACACTCGAAAATTCTCAATTATGCAGCTTCCTCTGATTCAACAGCAAGATTATGGTCCATGTCCAATGGTGAGGAAATCAAAGTCTATCGGGGGCATCAAAAAGCAACAGTATGCTGTGCTCTTCATGATGGGACTGAACCTTCTTCGTGCTGAGCCTAGAGTAACCTTCTTTGTGCTGAACCTGGAGTGCATGTTTTGTGTACTGCATCCTGTACAGTACAATCATAATATTGTTCAATGTTGTCTAATCCTTTACTAAACATGCCAAGAATATACTTCCTCCTCCATTGCATAGTGAAATATTTTACTGCAACCCTGAGGCGAGGCGACTTAAAGAATTGAGTTTATTAATTAGATTTGATTTCAAATTTTTATTTCCTTTGGTCGCTTGTATGGGCGTTTTGTGAATATGACTTGGTTTCAACTTCTTATAGTTTAACAGCACAATTGGTCAATTGGGTCTTGTATTTTAGTCATGGACTTGCTGAAGTTTGATTTGATTACATTTACTGATTTTCTTAGTTTATATGTGAAAGTTACGCAGTTCGATTCTAACAATAACTAGAGGGGGTGAATAGATATTTTATGCGGAATTAAAAATATTTTACAAATTAAACAGCAACAAGTCACTTTTTAATTTTAATTTAGATGATTAAACATTCAAGTCATTTTAGTCATAAGTTTGAATATCGCAATTTATGTGATCAATCAATAAACAATAACTGAACCTGGAGTGCATGTTTTGTGCACTGCATCCTGTACAGTACAATCATAATATTGTTCAATGTTGTCTAATCCTTTACTAAACATGCCAAGAATATACTTCCTCCTCCATTGCATAGTGAAATATTTTACTGCAACCCTGAGGCGAGGCGACTTAAAGAATGGAGTTTATTAATTAGATTTGATTTCAAAATTTTATTTCCTTTGGTCGCTTGTATGGGCGTTTTGTGAATATGACTTGGTTTCAACTTCTTATAGTTTAACAGCACAATTGGTCAATTGGGTCTTGTATTTTAGTCATGGACTTGCTGAAGTTTGATTTGATCACATTTACTGATTTTCTTAGTTTATATGTGAAAGTTACGCAGTTCGACCCTAACAATAACTAGAGGGGGTGAATAGATATTTTATGCGGAATTAAAAATATTTTACAAATTAAACAGCAACAAGTCACTTTTTAATTTTAATTTAGATGATTAAACATGCAAGTCATTTTAGTCATAAGTTTGAATATCGCAATTTATGTGATCAATCAATAAACAATAACGAAAACAGTAAATCAATCACCACTATAAACGATATAAACGATTTGTAACTTACAGTCTACAAGTTTAGATGACGACAAGTACTATATGATCTCCTGACTGCAATTCCAATTGCTTTTCTGGATTTTGTGCTCCTACACCACTCTCAGCTGCAATTTCCAAAACTCTCCTGGATTCTGTTCTCCTTCAACAACTCCTAACTTTGTGAAATCGTTTATTTCCCGTGGATCCACGAAGAATACCACGTTCTTCACATACTGGAACTTCAGTTAAACTTACTCGATCTTCAAAACTCTGATCATATATAGAGGAACAGTAGTTTGATATTTGGATTATTGAAGTAATGTTTTTCTCACCAAAACTCTCACAGATGAAGGTTGAAAGAATCAAATATGAAGGAAACACACTGTAGCTTTTTTCTCTCAATATTCAACTTTATGAAACACGTTCAATTATGTTTTGGTATTTATAGGTAGGGTATAAAATAGATGAGCTTTTAAAACGCAAAATAAAAATTTCCCGAATAAAGCTGTCGCTCGAACGAAGGCAGAGCGACAATCAAGCGATGAAGTTTTTGCTTTTGTAGCTTGAGCCAAACCTTGGCGACCGTCTAGCGAAAATTCGGGTCGTTTTCCTCCTTTTGCCATTCTCGAACCCTAAACCTAAAAACCCTATTTTTTTCAACGTATTTGCACATTACTCCTTGAACTTTTACAATATGTCAATTTCAGTACTTTTGTTCACAGAATCGCCAATTACGAATAATATAAAACCTAACAAACTCCCTCTTTGGCATTCTGTAACAAAACTACAATTTAAGTCAATGTAGTAATCAAAATGAAAATTACAAACTCAAAAATGACTTAAACTTAAATCCGTCTTGAACAAAAACCTCATTTCAATTTCAATACCCGTTTCCTGAAATAGACAAATCAAATACCCAGTGTAAAATGTGTGGTAAAAATGATCAATAATAAATATAGTTCAACAATTTTGAGTGTAAGAATCATTTAAACATTTATAACTCATTGCTAAACTCAGACACAGTATCAATGGAACCCAACATACAAAAACGAGACATTGACATTACAAAAAAATCAAAAACTGAATTTAGCGAACTGAAATTAAATAATATGCCTTTGAGTCCAAAAATCATTTATATATATATCAAAAACGTAGTTACATCCATCCAGATTCTCGATAAATAGATACATCAGATAAGCATCAACAGAATCTAACTCTCCCCCTATCAAAAATAAATATGAATTATATTACAGCTCACTAAATAAATTCATGCTAAATTACTCAAACAAAATCAAGTGTATTATAGATCATGCTGTAAAACAATTTCTTGAATAAAAATGTTGTGTTCTCCCGCCCTTTTTTTAAAATAATAACATGAATGCGCCAAACACACAAAACAAAAGAAAATGCATACAACCCAAACACACAAAACAGAAAGTAGAAATGCGTGAGAATAAATAAATAAGCATGATGCATGCATGACTCAAAATCTCATAAGAGTAGAATACTAGCATGCATCAAATATACCAATCAATAAGGCATACAAATACCAATAGTTGTTCTAAGAGATTCGAACCGAAGCCTATCCAATGGTTTAGTAAACAAGTCAGCTAATTGATTTTCAGTCAAAATATGTTCAAGATTAACAATTTGGGTTTCCAGAAGCTCTAGAATGAAATGATGTCTAATATCAATATGTTTAGTTTGAGAGTGTTGAATATGATTTTTCGAAATGTCAATTGCACTAGTATTGTCACGAAATACAATCATAGTTCCCTGTTCAATCTCATAGTCACTCAACATCTGCTTCATCCAAAGCAGTTGAGTGCAGCAGCTTCTTGCTGCTATGTATTCAGATATAATTTTGTTTCTTACTCATCCAAGCAAAAAGATTGGCTCCAATGTAAAAGCAACCTCCAGACGTACTTTTTCTATCATCCGCATTGCCAGCCCAATTAGCATCCGAATAACCAGCAAGATCAAGCTTAGTGTCTCGAGAGTACAAGATCCCATAATCTACAGTCCCATTGACATATCTGATAATACGTCAGACGACACTCAGGTGAGATTCCTTGGGATCAGCGTGAAAGTGTGCACAAACCCCTACACTAAAAGCTATGTCGGTTTACTATCAGTGAGGTAAAGCAGACTACCTATCATACTTCTGTAAAGAGACTGATCAACACTTTTACCTGTAGGATCATGACCTAACTTGACACTGGTCCTCATGGGGGTTCTAATGTGTTTCTTGCTGTCTAAACTAAATCGTTTGATAAGGTTTTTAGCATATTTCGATTGAGAAATGAACACACCATCATCAGTTTGTTTGACTTGAAGCCCTAAAAAATAGTTCAATTATTCAATCATACTCATTTCAAACATCGACACTCGCCTAAACTCTTCAGCAGATACAGCCATAAATAGGACATGTAATACTTTACTGTTCAAGTTGCATTCATCAAGATTAGTTTTAGTCCACAGAGATATGTCAGTGGGTGTGACTACACTAGCAACAGTTGCTGAAGGTGGAGCGCACCTATTTTGAACGCTAATCCAAATACGTTCATCCAAAGATTTAAGGAATGCTCTAATTCGAACTTTCCAGTAGGTATAGTTACTTCCGTCGAAAAACGAAGGCACGGATAATAACTGACTCATCTAGATGTTATAAAGGGTCAAGAATCGAATTAAGGCTCTGATGCCCATTGAAAGTTGCGCAGTTCGACCCTAACAATACCTAGAGGGTGGTGAATAGGTATTTTATATGGAATTAAATGTATTTTACGAATTAAACAGCAATATGTCACTTTTTAATTCTAATTTAGATGATTAAACATGCAAGTCATTTTAGTTATAAGTTTGAATACCGCGGTTTATGTGATCAATCAATAAACAATAACGAAAGCAATAAATCAACACCAAAATGATCACGGAGAAACCCAACTGGGAAAAACTTCGGACACTTTGCCATTCAACAATCCACTATAAATGATATGTAACTTACAGTCTACCAGCCTAGACGATGACACATACTATCTGATCTCTTGGCTACAATTCCAACAGCTTTCCTGGATTATGTGCTCCTGCACCACTCCCAACTGCAGTTTCCAAAGCTCTTATGGATTCTGCTCTCATGCAGCAACTCCTAACTTTGTGAAATCATTTATCTCCTGTGGGTCCACGAAGAACACCGCGTTCTTCACAGACTGGAACTCCAGTCAAACTTCCTCAATTTTCAGAACTCTGATCAGATATAGAGGAACATCAGTTTTGTATTTTGATTATTGAACTGATATTTTTCTCATCAAAACTCTCACAGATGAAGGTTGAAAGAATCAAATATGAAGGAAACACATTGTAGCCTTTTTCTCTCAATATTTAATATCTTGAAACACGTTCAATTATGTTTTGATATTTATAGGTAGGGCATAAAACAGATGGGCCATGGAAAAAACCTTCAAAATGCGAAATAAAAATTTTCCGAATAAAGCGTCGCTCGAGCGAGGTCTCAGCGACAGACTGTCGCTCGAGCGAAGACAAGGCGACAATCAAGTGATGGAGTTTCTGCTTTTGGAGCTCGAACCAAACCTTCGCGACAGTCCAGCGAAAATCCTCGTCGTTTTCCTCTTTTTATCATTCTCGAACCCTAGACCTGAAAACCCTATTTTCAACGTATTTGCACACTACTCCTTGAACTTTTACAATATTTTAATTTCAGTCTTTTTGTTCACAGAATCGCCAATTACAAATAATCTAAAACCTAACAATATGCTCTCATTTTTATGTTGTGATGCGAAGTCATGGTCAATTGGCATATGTGACGCGTTCTTTCCATTGTTACTTTTACTCGGAACCGATGTGGGTGGCTCCATCTTTGCCACCACCCACCGGACCCATGATTGCAGCATCTGCCACCCTTCAACCTCCATCTCAACCTCCACTGCCACCACACCAGTCCTCTATTTTGATGTATGTTTGGCATGAAAGATTGGATGGTCCTCCATACTCAATGGTATCAAAACAACTAGTTTACTAAACACTGTCATAATTAGATAACTAAACTACCAGTCAAGAAACTAATGAAAATTTGTTTCCATACAAGAATCAAGCACGGGCAAGTATGCTATTGCAGTAAATACAAATATAAATGGACTAACAACTCATGACATGCTACACATATGGTCAAAGGGTCCGTGCTATACGTCGTTTACTGCTGATCATCTAGTTGGGAACCCCCAAAGACTCACTGTTCTTTGGCTTTGATGGGTTGACCCGGGCAGGGGCTGAACGTTCTGACTTCGAGAACTGAATCAAGATTTGCATAAGAACAGTGACAATTGTCAATCCGATTCCTGAAAAAGTGAGACCTTTCCACGAGGATAAAAGTGAAGATGTTTGGAAAATTTTATAGGCCCCGAGTGTAAGCAAACTTGCCCAAGAAATAACCACCTGTTATGGCAGGAGAAGAAAGTTTTTTAATGTTCAGTAGAGAACCAGTGGAACACATACAAAAGAGATATGTGAATTCAATGCATATACCAAAAGAGACTTAAGTTGGCGGCCAGTATCTTGCAATTGTTCACCAAAGGAATTATCGGCTATATGCTTGTCCAGTAACTTGTCCTGGTTAGAAGAAAGCAAATAGAGAAACCGATCATGATAAATTACTTCTTTGAGACATGATAAATGTTCTCTCAAGTGAAGTGTACTCCAAAATGACAAACAATTTTTGAAAATTAGTGAACATCAAAACTGGGGACTCAATAAAGTAGGACACACCTTGGCCACGAAGGCATCCCTACACCATTGAGCAACAGCATCGTCAGTTTCTGGCAAATCCTTCATCAAGTGCCTCTTAAGGTGCACATGAACCTGCACAACAGCAAATTCTTATATCATATAAAAGTTACTATAAGTTAACAAAAAAAAACTTGCACATTTTGTTTTCCTAGTTGAATTTCGGTTGAAACTCGAAAGGCTTTAACATGTTGTCGTCACAAAATGTTATAAAAATAATAATAATGTGAAAAAATGCATTAATATGGACCTGTGTTACGGATTCAATTAACANTAAACAATAACGAAAGCAATAAATCAACACCAAAATGATCACGGAGAAACCCAACTGGGAAAAACTTCGGACACTTTGCCATTCAACAATCCACTATAAATGATATGTAACTTACAGTCTACCAGCCTAGACGATGACACATACTATCTGATCTCTTGGCTACAATTCCAACAGCTTTCCTGGATTATGTGCTCCTGCACCACTCCCAACTGCAGTTTCCAAAGCTCTTATGGATTCTGCTCTCATGCAGCAACTCCTAACTTTGTGAAATCATTTATCTCCTGTGGGTCCACGAAGAACACCGCGTTCTTCACAGACTGGAACTCCAGTCAAACTTCCTCAATTTTCAGAACTCTGATCAGATATAGAGGAACATCAGTTTTGTATTTTGATTATTGAACTGATATTTTTCTCATCAAAACTCTCACAGATGAAGGTTGAAAGAATCAAATATGAAGGAAACACATTGTAGCCTTTTTCTCTCAATATTTAATATCTTGAAACACGTTCAATTATGTTTTGATATTTATAGGTAGGGCATAAAACAGATGGGCCATGGAAAAAACCTTCAAAATGCGAAATAAAAATTTTCCGAATAAAGCGTCGCTCGAGCGAGGTCTCAGCGACAGACTGTCGCTCGAGCGAAGACAAGGCGACAATCAAGTGATGGAGTTTCTGCTTTTGGAGCTCGAACCAAACCTTCGCGACAGTCCAGCGAAAATCCTCGTCGTTTTCCTCTTTTTATCATTCTCGAACCCTAGACCTGAAAACCCTATTTTCAACGTATTTGCACACTACTCCTTGAACTTTTACAATATTTTAATTTCAGTCTTTTTGTTCACAGAATCGCCAATTACAAATAATCTAAAACCTAACAATATGCTCTCATTTTTATGTTGTGATGCGAAGTCATGGTCAATTGGCATATGTGACGCGTTCTTTCCATTGTTACTTTTACTCGGAACCGATGTGGGTGGCTCCATCTTTGCCACCACCCACCGGACCCATGATTGCAGCATCTGCCACCCTTCAACCTCCATCTCAACCTCCACTGCCACCACACCAGTCCTCTATTTTGATGTATGTTTGGCATGAAAGATTGGATGGTCCTCCATACTCAATGGTATCAAAACAACTAGTTTACTAAACACTGTCATAATTAGATAACTAAACTACCAGTCAAGAAACTAATGAAAATTTGTTTCCATACAAGAATCAAGCACGGGCAAGTATGCTATTGCAGTAAATACAAATATAAATGGACTAACAACTCATGACATGCTACACATATGGTCAAAGGGTCCGTGCTATACGTCGTTTACTGCTGATCATCTAGTTGGGAACCCCCAAAGACTCACTGTTCTTTGGCTTTGATGGGTTGACCCGGGCAGGGGCTGAACGTTCTGACTTCGAGAACTGAATCAAGATTTGCATAAGAACAGTGACAATTGTCAATCCGATTCCTGAAAAAGTGAGACCTTTCCTCGAGGATAAAAGTGAAGATGTTTGGAAAATTTTATAGGCCCCGAGTGTAAGCAAACTTGCCCAAGAAATAACCACCTGTTATGGCAGGAGAAGAAAGTTTTTTAATGTTCAGTAGAGAACCAGTGGAACACATACAAAAGAGAGATGTGAATTCAATGCATATACCAAAAGAGACTTAAGTTGGCGGCCCGTATCTTGCAATTGTTCACCAAAGGAATTATCGGCTATATGCTTGTCCAGTAACTTGTCCTGGTTAGAAGAAAGCAAGTAGAGAAACCGATCATGATAAATTACTTCTTTGAGACATGATAAATGTTCTTTCAAGTGAAGTGTACTCCAAAATGACAAACAATTTTTGAAAATTAGTGAACATCAAAACTGGGGACTCAATAAAGTAGGACACACCTTGGCCACGAAGGCATCCCTACACCATTGAGCAACAGCATCGTCAGTTTCTGGCAAATCCTTCATCAAGTGCCTCTTAAGGTGCACATGAACCTGCACAACAGCAAATTCTTATATCATATAAAAGTTACTATAAGTTAACAAAAAAAAACTTGCACATTTTGTTTTCCTAGTTGAATTTCGGTTGAAACTCGAAAGGCTTTAACATGTTGTCGTCACAAAATGTTATAAAAATAATAATAATGTGAAAAAATGCATTAATATGGACCTATGTTACGGATTCAATTAACAAGCTAGTATATTGAAATACAAGTTCAAATTTTATACTCAGATGAAAACATCATTATGAAACACGAGGTTGCATCCAAACTATATTGAGGCCCATGTTTGGTACACATTATTTTTTTCATTCACATTCTTCTACTTATTTTCAACCACACATTTTTTAATAAAATAATATTTTTCATCACATCAATAACTTTTCATTCTTCTTCAATCACGTAATCTCTATCAATTTACTATTTCAAAATGCGTTCTGTTCCGGCACTCGCAGAGGGGACAATAGTGGAAAACCAGCTGCCAATCACCTTGTCAANACACTCTTAACAGCAAATTGACAACTTTAAGACCATGCTCAGGGATCAGAAAAAATTACCACAGACGATTGCCCTTTAAAGAGTCTAAGCATGGTGGGCGCAGTCGAAGTTTTGGGAATAGCAACAGTCACATCATAAATGGCTGGAACAAACGAGCGCATTTGACTTACTGCTGTTACAAAACCCTGAAAATTGAAATGTACATCAAAATGGTGAGTAATACTGGGCATTTAGGGGGTGTTTGACACCCATTTTAGTAGAAAAATGTGTTTTTGAATAGTGATTGATGGAAAAATGTGTGGTTAAAAAGTAAGGAGAATTTTTAGGTAGGGGGTGTTTGACACCCATTTTAGTAGAAAAATATGTTTTTGAATAGTGATTGATGGAAGAATGTGTGGTTAAAAAGTAAGGAGAATTTTTGGGTTTATGTGTAATATTATTTTATTAATAGAATGTGTGGTTAAAATAAACGACAAAATTGGAGGACAGAACGCTGCAAGAAAAAATGCAGAACCGGAATACGACCACCGAGGTAAATGAAAGTACTACATTTCAAGTTAGAAATTATGTTGTAACATTGAGTGATGAGAAGTTCTGTTATACTTTCTTCAAGATGTCGACACCTCTGATTGAAGCTGATGTTGATGGCTATATTATGTCATAATTGCAGTCATCACCATACCAGCACGAGGCAAGTCAATACTTAATCAAGAGATTAAACGTGAAAAATTCATCTTTAGAAGTCTTGATGACTAGCAAGGGAAAGTAAGAAATAAAAGTACATGGAGAACGACAGAATAGCAGCTGTGGTAATAATTTTTTTATTGTAGAAATAGGCATAGCCAGATACCTTTGTACGAGGAATCAAAACATTTCTTGGAACAACCAGCCCAGTTGAGGTTGCGTATTCTTGAGCAGCTAAAAGTTTTGCCTCGGTGAAGCGGGTACCTTCAACAAAAAGTGCCAACCAGAAGGGTTGAGGAAAATCCCTTAACCGTTGAAAACCTAACTGCAATAGATTTTCAGTAAAATCAGAAGATTTAAGAAGGAAGAACAATGAAGAGAGACGCTGCAGTAGACACGTTAGAAAAAGATAGACATGCACATACAAAACTGGAATTAAACAAATCTTATCTTTAAACACACTTTTAAAGTGCTTTCATCCTTGGCCCAGCTTCTTTCAAGAAAGAGATAATCAGAGAACCACATAGACCATCCTATCACCTGCGTAATTCAGATAAGAATAGACTCATTCCCATGTCTTATTCCTCCAGAGACTCCAACAAAAAGCCAGGACAGAACAACTTAAGAAAAACGTAAGAGATAGAAAAGAGATAAGAATAGAAAAGCTGAGTGAGCAGGGTTAAACTCATTTCTATTTGCTCAGTCACAGTTGATAAGAACACCAAACATACCTATGAAAACAACAAAATTTGTATTAACTACTAAGGAAAAAATTATGAAATTTAAAAGAAAAATCTTATATTATAAAGACCAGCATGTTTAGAAATCAACTCCCTAGTGGTGGCGGCTGTAACGTAATTTATGTACAGAGCCTTCAGCCTTACAATACTTCAACAAAAAACTGTTAACAACTTGTTGAACCACTTGATCTAAAAACTTAAATTGCTATAGATGACAATATACATATCATTTAAATATAATCTTCTTTATGTACAAATCACAGCCAATTTAGTAATTTCGTCTTACTTACTTTAGCGAATTTCATCATTTTCATATTTCAATAAAGATGTATTTGTGGGGGGAAAAAAATCAAAGATTACAGTTCATGGAATTTAATTTTCCAGATTACAACCAATTTTCTCTTCCGTCAATTGCCTTGCTAGGGAGTATAATATTTTGCAACAGTATCAACATTCATGAACCTCGTCTAGAACAAGGAGAAAGGAACTCTATTGACTTGATTCGACCAAGCCTGCTTGAGCAAATACATGCTATATTATGGTTTCCTTTTTACATTTACTGATCGAAACACTTGACTAACAGCATTGGACCATAACAAAGATCAAGTCTTCAACTTTAGCATTGTGACTACAGAAGTGAATATTAGATACTAACCGGGAGAAGCTTTGATGATTTCTTCATAACAGCTAATGAGCTACCAAGGCAACCTGATTTCTGTCATTTGAAGATCAAATGATCAATTTACAGAAGTTTCATGGCAATGATAATAATCAAGATCCAACTTAAATCCCAAGCACCGCCGAGAAAAGTTTGTACTTTTATTTATCTTTCTTAGCACGCACATACAATCCAGGTTCTATAAAACTAAAATTACATATCAATGCATGCACATCTAGGTGTGTACCTGCTGACACACACACACACACTCGCGCACGTCTCTGTATGTGCTCTTGACGACCATATCTCCTACATACTGATATAGTTGTCTAGTGAAAAACAATAATTCTACCATATCTGGGATGAATACATCACTTGATCATATAAAAAAAGAAGTGCCGACCAAAAATTTGTTCAACTTAAATATGTGCAAAAAGCAATGAAAACGAGTTATGGATGGATGCGGCAAAGCAACTTTGCCAATATGACCGTGCAAGTGCGCAGAGTTGTATATATGCAAAAAGCAGATGATGAACCTGAGCTAAAACCCATCCAACAAGCCAATCAATGTCACTTTTATGATTCGGCATGAGGAGTGCATGTTCTTTACCTGGAAAAATACAAGCATAATCGATAGAATGAGCAACTCGAGAAAGCATAACTTTTATCTGAATCCAGGCACAAATTCTAAAAACAGAAGCTCTCTACTCACCCATTAATTTGAAGGTTTCTGAATCCATATACAGTTGTATCTGCAATCAAAAAAACAACTAATGGAATATGAGACCCATTATTCAGAAGGAAATGATAAAATTCCAAAATCAAAAGTTCTATATCTGGTTTGCACTTCCACTTTTGAGGTGGTAAACTCATTTGGTACCACATCATCTTAATTGGATGACACTGCTAGAACTAAAACACAAATGGCAGGCACGGCACCAGCCTCATCACTATCAGATAATTGTCCATTTTCTTCTACAGGTTTTGCAATGTGCTCCACATCTTATCAGTTCTAAATGGAGCAAACATAGAGGTAGACACAACCACTAAGTTAAGAACGACAAACCCAAAATTATTCTTATAAGAGATCAGTCTCTTAAACTGCCTTTATGTCTGAGTAAGCTACACCCTGTGTTCAGGGGCGGACGCAGACCTTAAAAGTTAGGGGGACACAATCGAACTTGCATAGAAGTTGGGAGAAATTTTACAATCTAAAATTTACGTCCAAAAAAAAACATACTCCATGTAATTTTACATCCGAAAATTTACATGGGATATGATTTTTTCGGATGTAAAATTTCGAAAATTTATGATATCATATTTCATATAAAATTTCCTAATAAAATGATGAAAATTACATTGAGAAATTTGTATCGCAAAAATAATAAATGTTAATAAAATAATTGAATTTTTTTAAAAAATGCGAGTTAGATATCTTTTTTTAAGACTCACGTTTAACGTATTTTTAACTATTTTCGATATCTATTTGGACTATTCGATGTACACATAATGTAATGCTTGAAATAAGTTTTGAGATGATATAAACAATTTGTAGATTCGACTAGCGTACGATCGTCGGAGGATTTTTTAAAATTAGCATGTTATCGAAATTCAAATTTATTGTGATTTTGCCCCTGTTTGGTGGATATTAAAATCAAAATTTTGGTAAATTTTGATAAAAGTTAAAACAGTTATGGATTGCATAAAATGTGTTATTAAAATTAATTGTTAATTTTAATTTAGATTAAAATTTAGATTTCAATCGATACCAAACACGATTTTATAACAAAAAAACAAAAAATCTCAAAAATTTGGGGGGCACTCCCTAGGACCCCCTAGGTCCGCCCATGCCTGAGTTTATCCGGTAAGAAAAATACTAACATCTCTATCTTCAATATAGGCATTTCAATATTTCTTTCTAAATTCCTAGTTATACTAGGCGGAAGAAACTTCTAGAGAATTCCTAAGCTAATGTTTTTAAGACTTGGCATATATATGTTGAATGGATCGCTTCTTTCGGGGTCTATTTAATTGAGAATTTTAATGATTGAGATTTAAAAAGTTTAGTAGTATTCAATATAAATTTTTGGAGACTCTCTAAAAGTATTGGTATATTCAATTGAGATTTTTATAAAATTTTAAAAAATTTCTAAAAGTCACGGTGTATTCAATTAAAACATTTTAGAAGTTTCTATAAGTCTTTATGTAGTTCAAATTTTAATTACTTTTAGAAACTTTTATAAAAGTCTTTATGGTATTAATTTTTAAGCAGAAAGTAATAAAATAAAATCTCAAAATTTGTCTCATTAATCACAAGATTTTGAGACTTTCACAAAAAAAAAAAAATAATAATAAAAAAATAATAATAATAA